ACTGCAAGAGGGAGAAGACACAATTTGTTTTTAAAGGCAGCAGATATTCATAGTAATTTCTTCATGAAGTATAAGCTAACATTAAGTATAAGTCACAGGTTAATTGTATTATCTGTATATCTACATTATTATCAATATTCTTGGAGGTCTGGTTCATCTAGTACAATATGTCATCATTTATTAACATGTGCTCCCTCTGCTGAATTATTGGCCATACAACAAGAGAGAACATTGGGTATGGGTAAATAATTTTATTATTCTTGGTCATTATACCCATGTTGTGTGAAATATAAAATTATTGATTGTACATTTAATACATTTAAATAACTGTTATAACTGTGACTTTTTTGGCTTGGCCCATCTATTTTTTTTCAGGGATTATGAAATGTGTTTTTAGTAACCCAGGGTACCTTTTGAACTAGACATTTGCAATTCTGATATTTTTGTCAGATCCACCATCATCTGTTCTCTAGGTCTATATCTTACTTTTCTTTTTACTTATAATGTAAACTTCTTTTGGAGATTTACTTCACACCTGCTTTTTCATTTTCACATTCTTCTATCTCCAGGTAACCATAGTCCTGATTTCCCTAAGGTTACATATTATTCTTGTAAAAAGTATTAGATAAAAAGTGATAAACCTAAATGACTTACTCATAGCCTGCTTGCCACTACCTAATTGGCTATCAGCTTCATAGATTTGCTTCTTTCACAGAGTATACACTGTTGAGTTACACCTAGCCTACTCAAAGTCCCTTATCTTTTCTTTTTTTTTTTAATTAATCTTTGAGATTATTATAGATGTCCCCCCCCCCCCAATAGCTCCCCTCCACCTGGTTCCCACCCCAGGTCCTTGCCACCCTATTGTCTGTGGCCATAGGTAATGCATACATGCATATTATATCTTTGTTTATTCTCTTCCCACACCCCCCACACCCCTTTCCCTCTGAGAATCCTCAGTCTGTTCCATTTCCATGCCCCTGATTCTACTCCATTCACCAGTTTATTCTGTTCATCAGATTTTTTATTCATTTGATTTTTAGATTCACTTGTTGATAGATACATATTTGTTGTCACTTTGTTGTTCACATTTTCTTCTTCTTCTTCTTCTTCTTCTTCTTCTTCTTCTTCTTCTTCTTCTTCTTCTTCTTCTTCTTCTTCTTCATAAAGAATACCCTTCAGTATTTCATATAATACTGGTTTGGTGATGGTGAACTCCTTTAGCTTTTTCTTGTCTGTGAAGCTCTCTATCTGACCTTCAATTCTAAATGACAGGTTTGCTGGGTAGAGTATTCTTGGTAGTATGTTCTTGCTATTCATCACTTTGAATATTTCTTGCCACTCCCTTCTGAACTGCATAGTTTCTGTTGATAAATCCGCTGACAGTCGTATGGGCACTCCCTTGTAGGTAACTAACTGTTTTTCTCTTGCTGCTTTTAAGATTCTCTCTTTGTCTTTTGCCCTTGGCATTTTAATTATGATGTGTCTTGGTGTGGTCCTCTTTGGATTCCTTTTGTTTGGGGTTCTCTGTGCTTGCTGGACTTGTAAGTCTATTTCATTCACCAGGTAGGGGAAGTTTTCTGTCATTATTTCTTCAAATAGGTTTTCAGTGTCTTGCTCTCTCTCTTCTTTTGGCATCCCGAGAGTTCAGATTTGGTACACTTGAAGTTGTGCCAGAGACTCCTTACACTATCTTCATATTTTTGGATTCTTTTTTTCCTTTTGCTCTTCTTGTTGAGTGTTTTGTGCTTCTTCGTATTTCAAATCATTGATTTGATTCTTGGGATCCTCTAGTCTACTGTTGGATCTCTGTATATTATTCTTTATTTCAGTAACTGTATGTTTAAATTACTGACTGGTCCTTTTCCATCTTTTTTTTTTTTTTTTGGCATTCTCACTAAGATCCTTGAAATTCTAACTAAGTTACTCAGAGGTTTCTAGAAGATTCTCGAGTAACCTTATAACTGTGGTTTTGAAATCTATGTCCAATATTTTGCTTTCTTCCATTTCTTTCATTTGTGACATGTTTCTTTGTCTCCACATTTTGGCTGCTTCCCTGTGCTTGTTTCTATGTATTGGGTAGCTGCAAGATCTCCTTGAGTTGATAGAATGGCCGTGTGTAGTAGGTGTCCCATAGAGCCCAGTGGCTCAGCCTCCCCAATCACCTGAGGTGGACACTCTTGGTGTACACCTTTGTGAGCTGTGTGCACAGTTGTGTTGTAGTTGAGCCTTGATTGCTGTTGGTATCACTGGGAAGAATTGACCTCCATGCCAATTGGCTTTGGGGACCAGCTGAGACTACAGTGGTAGATCTGCTGTGCAGGAGACAACCCTATGGAGCAAGACTTGCTTCAGTGGTCCTCACTGAGTCTGCCCCTTGAGTGTGTTGCTTATGGATGTGAAAAGTTGTAATCTGGTATGGCCTCACACTGACCACTGGGTGCACTTGGGTTTCCAGGGAGATGCAAAGTCAGACACTTCCTGGAGTCATCCAGTAGGAGCTACAGAGAGATCTTCAGATTCATCTTCTTTGTATCGGGTTTGGAAGTGCCCAGACAAGGTCCAGCTGTGAAGTAAGGCAGGCTGGTGCTGGTGCAGGGTTTTGCACATTTTTGTATTGATAGGTTTGGGGCTTCCTGACACAGCTTCAGCTTGTTTGACAGGTATTTAGCTTGAGAAAGGACAGACCATTCATATGCAAAAGGCACTGATCACAGCTTGGTTGGGGTTGTAAATTGGGTGGGGTGGGGTTAGGGGGTCTCAGGGAATCACCAGGATGAAGAAAACATAAATGGCTGCCAGTCAGCCCTGCACTTGGGAGGTCCTAGCACAGGAACAATGACTGTTGTGAGCACCTCCATCTGGAAGAAAGCCGCCCCCAAGTTCCAGCCCCAATGCCACACAGTCCAGTTTCTCCCCATATGTGTTTGGGTCTCCCAGAGCCTCATCCAGCACTGGAACTCAGAGGAAGTGGGAACTTATAAATTCAGTTCATGGTGCCGGCCTTTTTAGAGGAGCAGCTGGGTCTCTAGCAGCCTGTGTGTCACTCAGCCCCAATCAGCACTGTTTTTTACAGGCCTTAGTTCTTACTGCCCATAGGGACTTCTTTCCCCTACTCTGGAACCCTGGGCTGGGGGTCTGGTGTGGGGCTAGGACTTCTTGCTCCTCCAGGCAGTCTCCACAGAGGCGATCTCCCTCCTGATTAAAAAAGTGGCACATCTGGCAGCCCGTTCCACTCCTCTGCACCTCCTACCAGTCTCAATGTGTTTTCTTCTTTACCTCTCTAGCTGTAGTACTTCCACTCAGCCAGCTTTCTGGGAGTTCTGGATGATAGTTGTTCTGTATTTTAGTTGTAATTTTGATGTGGTTGTGGGAGGCAGGGAGTGCAGGCATTTACCTATGCCACCATCTTGGTTCTTTCCATTATTTTTTCTTAAACTGACATTAATGTGATCAAAACAGTGGATAAGCTAAAAGATTTGGTGACTATGATGAAAAGTAAAAACTATTGTCCACTGTAGAGAATTGGTACTTTAATAGGGTAACTGATGATGGCAAAAAGGTGCACACTTTGGCTGTTCACAAATAATCAGATTTATCTTGGAATGATATACTTTGCTTAACCAAAAACTATTCCTAGGCCTTTGCATATTAATGTGGTTTTTTGTCCCTTGTGTACATTTAAAAGAATTACTTTATTTCTGACTATTTTTCTTGACTATATGATGACTATGGAAACAAAGGGACTAAGAAAAGCATAGCCATAAATCAAATTTAAATGACTGCATTGAAAACAAAATGTTCGTCCCACTTCTGAATACTATCTTTCTTATAGACTAAATCAGTTAATAAAAAGTAATAAAAAATGAATAAAGCAGATTTCTCTTTAAAAAATATTTAAGCCCTAACCAGTTTGGCTCAGTGCATAAGAGCATCGGCCTATGGACTGAAGGGTCCCAGGTTCAATTCTGGTCAAGGACATGTACCTTGGTTGTGGGCACATCCTCAGTAGGGGGTGTGTGGGAGGCAGCTGATATGTTTCTTTTTTTTTTTTTAAATATATTTTATTGATTTTTTACAGAGAGGAAGGGAGAGAGATAGAGAGTCAGAAACATCGATCAGCCGCCTCCTGCACATCCCCCACTGGGGATGTGCCCACAACCCAGGTACATGTCCTTGACCGGAATCGAACCTGGGACCTTTCAGTCCACAGGCCAACGCTCTATCCACTGAGCCAAACCGGTTTCGACAACTCCACACAATTTTACTAGGCCAGAAAAATATGTTTTGCTTAAATTTTTTTGATATAATCACTAACACAAGTGCAGAAAACAGTAACCTCAAACCCTCAGTTGGTTGAATGAACAATATTAGAAAAAATGTCAGATATCAGTTACCTTTAAAATATTTGTGAACAAATACCAGTGATAGCATTTTAAACATATCAATGACTCAGAAAGATCATAACTGACTTTTGAGTCTCTGCTGACCTAATTGGTCAAAGGGGCCTGGTTTAGCAGGAGAGGGCGTTGGGTGGGGGAAGGGTAGAAAGAAAAGAAAAGGGAGGGAGACTGGAGGGGAACCAAAGCCCAAGATTCTTCTGAAGATGGGCAACATCCACAGCTGTTCTGGAGGATGGGAGTCTGGGGTAGATCCGGCTTTGGCAAACTCAGCAGAACCTTCAGGGTGCCCATAGACATGGGTTATCCAGTGGGTGGAAGCTCAGCTAGCCACACAGGAGCTGGCAGTGTCCAAGGACATTCCAGGGTCTGGGAGGAAGAATAAACTATGGCGAACTTGTTCAATCCCAGGAACTCAGCCTGTCCAGAGGCAACAAGAGGAGAACTCTCATGCATGACCAGTGATTTAGAAACTTGCTCACAGCTTTGAGATATAAATGTGGCCAGACTCAATGAATCTCCACACAAAAGAAAATGGAGAACAAAGGTAGGCGTCTCTGGGTTTAGGGATCGGGAGCACAGCAGCACCCAAAAGCCACCTTAGGATGCTGGGACCAGCAGTGCTGGGCTGTCCATGGAGGGTTTGTCCTCAGGCACAGGCTGGGCTTTGGGTTCCGGAGCTGTGCGCACTGCGCCCACTAGGCAGCGCCTCTTAGCCGGGGCCTGAACAGTCCACTCTTGAGTCCCCTGTTCCCAAGGACGAGGACCACGATTGAGACCACGTGTGCCAGTTGGCTGGAGATCCTGGGCAGATGGGCCCGAGGTTGGCTGTGAGGGTGGGTAGGGCTTCAAGGAGCAGAGGGCCGCGGCAGCCGCGGGCTGGGCAGCAGAGGCAGATCCCAGGGCTAGTGAAGGGCGACGGCATAGCTTGCGCACAAGGGCCTGGCAGCCAAGGTGGCCGGGAGCCCCACGGCTCATGCCCACTGATCTAGGGGTGTTCGTGGCCCGAGGGGGCTGGAGGTGCCTCAGGCCCAGCGCAGATCTCCAGGCCGCTCGGCCCTCCCTCCAGGCCCTCAGCTCCTGGCTGCCCAGCGCCATGGGCTCGACGTGGTCCACAACGGTCCGGTCCTCTCCGCGTTTCCACAGCTCATAGCGCTCGGGCTGCAGGAGGCGCATGAACACGTCCATGGGAAAGCTTACCCGGGCCTCCCCGCAGCTGCACTGAGAGGCCACTTTGCCATAGTCGACCCATCGCGGGGTGGCAAAGTTGATGGCCTCCGCACAGTTGAAGCCATGGTTGAAGCCAGCGTGGTAGCCATAGGGAAAGGTCACCATGAACTCTCCAGCCTCCTGAGTGATGCGACTGAACGGGACCCCGTTCTCCTTGAGGACAGTGGGCGAGATGAGGGCCACCTTGTGCCGCAGGAAGGCCTCGCAGCCCCGAGAGCTGCCCGGGAAAAGCTCCCTGGCCAGGCGCTCCAGGCGCTGGCCGTGCTCTGGGGGCACCGCGTACCACGTTTTGGGCTCCCCGAAGTGCAGGTAGTTGATGCTGTAAAGGTCCATGTCCTCCGTGTGCCAAGCGAAGGTGGTCTTCCACATGCCAAAGTACAGGTAGGGGGTGTTGACGCCTTCGATGACAACCCCACACTCCTGCTCCAGCAGGTCCTGGATGGTTCCCAGGTGACCAAGGTTCCATTGTTTAGTGTTGGCATCAAATAAGGAGCCACTGATGTCAGCGCCATATATGGGCGAGTCGTACAGGCGCGTTTTCCAGTATTTCCGCTCCAGATCCTCAAAGTCCAAGTGTGGTGGAGTCTGATACTGTCCACTGTTTGCCAACAGGCGATACTCGCCCACTGTCATGGCCCTCTTCTTTTTGTGGTATTGAATGAACACACCTGCTCGCCCAGACGCCACCTGCTGGAGGGAGTGGCTATCACCATGTCACTGACATCATCGTAGGTCTGTCTGGCTTTCCATTCCTTATGTGGAATGACCTTTGCCAGGCCAGCTCGGTGGACACCTTGGGATTCCAGGTAACCAATATATTTGTTGAAGTCTTTCAGTTCTTCCATGGTTGGGTGGAAGGTCATGATTGTCCCACTTGGCTCATTAGACACCATGGCTGCAATGTAAGCAGAGGATTCCCGGGTTCTCAGGGATGTTTTAGATACCTGATTATGAGGGAATAATGTCTTCTCTCTCTCTCTCTCTCTCTCTCTCTTTTTTAATTATGAAAGTAAATTTATTTCAAAAGCATAAGGAAACACTTACTTTTGAACAATGTGATCAACAGATGTCTTGCAAAAGAAAAACAATCATGACATGAAGTTTTCCATTCAAGTTTTTGAAGCAAAGGTAACCTAAGTTGCACATTATTGCCTTTGGAAAGGGAAGGGGAACAATGAGGCGGCAAAGGAAGAAACACAGTCAACTCAATATCAAACTTTAAGGAAAGTCAATTCTGCTCAGCTTTGAGTTTACAAATATTCTTTAAAAAAGAAAAAGAGGAAAAGTTACCCCTAATGTTCAAATTCATATAACTGTAGTCCTAATACAGTTCCTATACTTGAAATGGCTTTCGTCCACCTGGTCACAGTTTTCAAATAGCAATTCTATATTCCTATGTCTGTTCAGATTCCAAGGGAGCTCAGGTTCAGCTCATTGTCTTTTGGAATGTTTAGATTATTGCCATCGCTCCATAAACAAGCTGAACAATTTCTTATGCTCACTTGTATAATTCTAGTCTTCAAAAAATATTTATCCCATAAACATGTGCAGTAATTCTAACAAAGGGGTTTTGTTTTTTCCCCAATGTAAGGGTTAACAGTAATAAAGACACTGCCATTGGAATTACTAACTACTCCTCAAAAAATGGGCCAAACTACTAGAAAATGTTGCTCATACATTGGATTTGAGTAGCAAACTTGGGGAGGGAATATTAACTGTGAAACAAAAATATATGAAACATTCAAATGCAGAGCAAAGGACCTATGCTACTAAAAATGCTCATGACATTAAACACTCCACAACCCCCCCCCATATGTCTTTTAACCTAAATATTCTATTGGCTAACTTATACAGTAATTTTGATTAATAACCTGAGAAGTTAAAATCTTCAAAGTGGCAAAAGCAAACAGAGAGAATCCCTTATTATTGGTAGAACATGTTATCAAGTCACTTCTCCTGGGTTGTCCTGGTTATTCAATTCCCAAATTCTAAATTATTCCATGTCATCCTGTAGAAACCTATATGTACATCAGATTCAGTATTTTGTCTGTATTTCTCCAAAAGGGATCGCCAAACTCATCTTTGACAACGCAGCCTTTGCTTATTTTCAGTTTTAAATAACAATAATCATGTAAGTGCAACGGACTCAAAATCCCTCACTACTGGGAAGAAAACCTAGATGACAAGTTAATAATGGATTCAGCCTCAAAAGGGTAATCACTATGTCAAAGATTACCTGTTCCTGGAATTTTAAAAAATTATTTATGTTGTGTAGTCAGCATGTATATGTGTATATATACATATATACATATATACACACACACATATCTTATGTATGTATGTATGTATATTATACATACACATTTCTATTCAAATAGTAAGATCCCATATTCAAAAGCTTATCACAACATATGGAGAAGAGTTAAGTAAGCAGTGCAAAGCAGCTTACATTCTCCTAAAAATGTAATACTTCTACATTTAAGTATTTTGCTCCCAGTACACTAGGTAGGAATGCTGAACCATTGCTTAGCAGCTTTATTAAAGAAAACCAATGAAAACCAAATGTTAAAATTGACCATTACTCTTCTCTATATATATTGGGGGGAAAGGACAGAGGGGAGAAGAAAATCAGTAAGCTTTCAAAACTGATCATCTTTACCAGTTATCGGAAGTAGAATTTCATTATATTTTAGATTTGAATGGCTCTCAACAAATTATTAGGATGTTTAAAAGATTCAAAATATGAAGTCTGAATAATGATGATATTGCAAAAACAGATTGTGCACAAAGCATCCAAAAATATCGCTGTGGTTTTACCTTGGACACAACCACGGTCTGTTACAAAAGTAGATCATACATACAAAGGTATAAAGAACAATAAGTTTTTAGCTGAAGGCAGAAGTCCTTTTAAGGGACATCCAATGAGTAGTAGAATTTAAGTATATTAAGCTCATGGCGATGCTGAAGAATGTGATGTCTTATTCAGTAGAGTCTTCCCCGACTACGATTTCCTCGTGCTCCCCAACCTCGGCCACCTCTACTTTCCCTGAAGGCTCCTCTCATAAAGTTGCCCAAATTGCTGCTATATTTCCCACTAGGAGGATTATAAATCTGCCTTGCGTCTCTTTTTGGTCCTGCTGGAGATTTCTTGGCTGGTGAACCAGAAGTTGTATCTTCAGTGGCTCTCTTTTGCCCAATTTCAACCTTCTGTACAGGTTTCCAGGATAATGTTACTGTGCTCTTATAAGAGGGAGGACTGTGGAAGAGATCCTTGATTAAAACATTGATGTTATTTGTTATTCTCAATGCAACCACTCTAATCTTGTTCTCGTCTGTTTTTAAGGCCTTGCCCGTTTTACCCTGGAGAGCCAAGCGAAGTTGTCTGATATAAACCTGCAGGCTCTGAGCAAAGTACTGCAGCCTAATTTTAAAATCTTTGAGCTTTTCTGCATTCAGTTTGGCTGTTAAGAAATCTGGAAGTTTTCGACCCAACTGGTGGAAGCTGTACAACAAACATTCGACATAACTGAATTGCAGCTTAGGTTCTTCATTACCAGCATTCTCCCCATTTTCTGCTTCTTCTGGAGGGAGAGGCATGTGCTCCAATAGCTTATCCAACAGTTTTCTTAAATTTGTTTCTATCTTTTCCATGTCACCACAAAATGAACTCAGTTCTGCCAACAGTTTCAATACCTCCAACTGTATATCAAGACCCTCCACTGGAGTAATTAAGGAGCTGAGGTTAGGTAGAACCTGCTCACAGAAGTAAGTCACAAACCTTGTGGAATGCACATTTTTCGAGAAGAGGGGTACCGCCTGCCGAGTGCACTGTAGGAGCCTGTCCACACAGTCGGGATCTGACGGGTTGAAGGTTTGTTCTAGGTCAGCCTGCTCAGCCACCAACTCTACAAGTTGCTGTCTTCCACTCACTGTCTGTAAGCTCTTTAACCCAGACAGTATATTCATGAACAGGACAAATTCTTCACCAGTCACATCTTTTAGGACCTTTTTGGATTCAGTTCGTATAAGTTCCTCTACTTCCTTTGTTAAGACCTCATCTGGTAAAGTGTTAAGTTTTGTAGAAAGGAATTTGATTGCTCGTTCTCTAACAATGTTTTCTCCTTTAAGGATTTGGCTGAATAAGCCACCTAAAGTCCCTTTTGCATCCATCTTAAATATACTTAATAGGGCATTGTTCACTAAGTTAAATTCTGCAGAGTCATCTGTTTGCAAAAGTTGGGTTAGAATATCTGCCACTGGGGGAAGATTTTCTCCAGTGGCAAATTGAAGAAGCTCTTTAATTGCTTGCCGTCGAACTGATGCATCTTCATCCTCACAGAGGTCTAACTGTGCATTGATAGCAGAATCAGCCAATTCTGGAAAATGCTTAAAGAATTTTGGAATAAACTGAGCTGCTAACCTTTTTTCCTTGGTACCACCTTTCACACCATCCAATATCACTTGATAGGCATCTTTATGCTGGCCCACTTGCTCCATGGCTAGGATGCCATAGCTGCGGTAGAGCTCCTCTACAGTCACCATGGTGAGTGACAAGCCCAGGGCTAGCTCCTGCGGGTCGTCGTTGTCCTCCTTGTCCTCGCTGGCTTGACCGCCGCCCCCGAAGTTCCTGCCCCCAGCCCGCGAGCCACACTATCTCTTTTTGTTTTGTTTTTTTAAGTTTTGGTGTATCAGTGATTCAGATTGAGTGTTTGACAACTAAACCTTTTCCAGGCTTTCGGCCTCACCAGTGGGGCCCATGCTGGTCTGTACTTTGTGCCTGAAGGATATGGACCAGTTCCCAGGGAGCAGACGTTTTGGGGGAAAAGGGGGAGAGCGGGTCTCAGCCTGAAGCACTGTGAGTCTCCTCAGTTGCGGTGTTAGAGTCTCTGAAGCTTCTCCTGGATCACAGGCTGGAGTGCCTGGATGGCTCCTCACCCCGCTGTAGCGGAAAGTTTCCTCAACGAAGTTAAAAGCTTCCACCAGCAAAATCCCAATTCCAGGTGATGGTACTGCAGGATCCAGGGAGACAGTATCCGCTTGAGAGCTGGCTTTCAAATGCCAATATGTTTCTCTCTCATCAATGTTTCTAATTCTCTATCCCAGTGGTTCTCATCCTTGGCTACACATTAGAATCACCCAGGAATCTTTTTAAAATCCTGATTTCTGGGCCTCATTCTCCGGAAATTCTGTGTTTTGTTTTGTTTGTTTGTTTTTGTTATGGGGTGGGGCCACAACATTAGTAACAAAGAAACAGAATTTCCGGAGGATGAGACCCAGAAATCAGGATTTTAAAAAGATTCCCACTGCTTTATCCCTTTCCCTTCCTCTCTGTAAAAAATCAATAAAATATATTTTTAAAAAACTATTTAAACTACAGTGCTTAAAACTGAGACATTAAGCAGTCAGTTTGCTCTAGGTTGCTCAAGTTGCATTAGCAAAACGACTCATTTTGTATTAATTTCAATAACAATAATCATGTTATATATTAGTAAATAGAAAATCTAAAGCCACAAAAAGTACTTCTACACTACTGAGAAATCATCTGAAACTTTATCTAAAATGAGATAAAATTTCAAGGTTTATTTTAAAGTAAATTAAAATGGCTAAATGGAATGATAAAATATTACAATATATAACTTGCAAGTAGAAAATAGAGATAAACTATGTGGTTGCTATTAACAGTTTAAAACTAAAATGCAAGAAATTCACATTTTAGATGTCTACATAGGAAAATCATTAAGCAGTTTGACTGTATTACATGCATTAGAGATTTATCTACTCTGTTAATGAAATATATTCTCTTTTTATATAAATGTTCAACTCCCAAAACATTTACAAGTAGTTCTTACAATATTTTATAAACTAGCTTCCTCATAGCTTAGTCATAAGCCAA